AGAAATCAAAACAGAGAGGCCTTCATGACTTGTTCTTGGATCAAAGTTTTATTCTACATATAAAAGCTCTCATACTTGGAAAGGGCTAGTGGGTATTGCTCCTCATGGTGCCCTTACCTTTTTGTCAAGCCTTTATACTGGATGTATTTCAGATGTAGAAATTACTAAACTGAGTGGTCTCATAGAATTGCTAGAGAGGGGGGACTCTGTTATGGCTGATAAGGGTTTTACCCTACAGAAGGTTTTGGAGGGAACTGGGATTGATGTTAACACACCCCCATTTCTAATGAGTCAAGGACAATTCACTGCACAAGAAGTAGAAGAAACTCAAGCAATTGCCAGACTTAGAATTCATATTGAGCGGCATATACGCAGAGTTAAAGAATTCCATTTGTTTGATGCTATTATTCCTCTTAGTATGGTAGGGTCAATCAACCAGCTTTGGACAGTAGCAAATATGCTTACTTTGTTTAGAGGTCCCCTTGTTAAAGACTGGTCCTAGAAAGATTATATGGCAGTGTTAAAGTTGATTGTGTAAATATTCATCACATACAAGTGGCAGTAACTTGTTATTTCCCCAGTGTTTGTTATGTAGTAAATTTATTCTACAGATTTTTATAAATACTAGTATGTTCGTCTTAATAGATAAAAATAATTGAAGTTGAAAGTATTTTTACCTTTTTCAATTAAATCCAGAGTCAAATTTTTGAAATTTTGTAAATTTTTCCATAAAGTCATTTTGCTCTTAAACTGACAGGTAGTGGAAGTAATTTTTGGCAAAAAACAACAACAATGAGCAACATGATTCTATTCAAATTAAATAGTGATAAAAAAAGAAAATATCAGGTTTAGCTTTCATGTCCAACCAAACATCAAGATCAAATTTTATCAGCTCCAGGTGGGACTCCTCCTGCATCCACACAAAAAAGTGACACCACTCTAGCCCTGTTACAGCCATCTGCATCATGATCTGATAGTAATACTTGTGGGTCTTTTTCAGTCTGTATCCATTCTCATCCTTTGCTAAGAATATGCAATCTGACAGATGATTAACTGGACACTTGATTTCCAGCAATCCATACGAGGGATTAAGGGAAGGGCAGTATACTTTACGGTCTGGTGAAGCTGCCAACCAAGGTGACCATGGGTTTACCACTAGTCCGCAAGGGTATATGTTGACCTCTCGGTCTAGTGCCTACAATATGAAATACATGTACTGGTTGTGTTTTGAAGAGGGATATTAAATGTACAGATGAGAAAATTTATTGTAATAAATGTATGAATGAAATTTATCAATAATGAATTGTTATATATGTATTACCAGTATACACATATTTACTTTTTAAAATAGTTTACCTCAACATAAGCATTAGCTGCTATAGGTTCACATGCAATCCCATGGCGCATACTTGAAGTCACAACTTTTCTGGTTGTCCTGAGTCGTTCAACAAGTGGCTCATACTCTAGAATGGTAAATTGTCAATTTTTGGTTAAATAACTAATATCTCACTTGATCATGTAACTAGAAGTACTATGCTAATTTTCAATGAAAGCTTTAAACTATTGAATGACTTAAATTAAAGTTTTAGAAATGTAAACAATATTTATAAATATATGTACAGTTGCACATTGTATTTTATTTACCTTTTCTTCTCCTCACGATATCTCCAGCAACCGATGCTGTGATCCGGTCTTGTCTGATCCGATGCCACTTGGGGTCCTGAGCTTGTAGCCGAGTCATCTCCTCAATATCTGATGCCTGTTCTTTGCTCACACTTAATGAACTCAGTTTCACAGTTTTTGTGTAGTCTAATGCCACCAACAAACTATTTATCATCACATTTTTCACTGGCAATGTAGGAAAGTCCTCACAATCAAGAATGTTCAACACATATTCACTTCTCATCCTCTGCTGAACACCAATAGGTGAGCCACGAGGAAACTTTCAAAAGTTTGTGTCAGTGTCTTTTGTCTGGTCTTTAAGGTCTATGGTGGTCAACAGTAGACAAGACTTGTCAATGGCTGCTAAGTTGTCACACAATTCTGATAGAGGGAGCACATCAGTATTACTAGAAATTGGATTGTACAGTGTAGAGTGGATTCCTCGGGGCTGTCTGTAGGGATTCTGGGAATCATATCCAACTACAGCTGTGCTGTCTGATGAGCTCCCACTTATCTTCTCACCCCTGGGTATGTGCCATGTCTGGGGCAGTGATGTTTTGGCAACATCTCTGGGAACCAATTTCATATTGGTTGTTTTCATGTGAGCCAAGCAGTACAGGAGGCCGGTAATGTGTCCACATAAAGCAGATAATCCAATGGCACATGAACATTTGCTGGAATCTCTGTCATAAGTTGGCCCTTCTTTCAAAACTATCTAGAATTTATAACACATTATATAGTACTAAATATCAGTATGCATATGCATTATGAAATACATAATTATTAAAACAAGTAATGTTGCTTAATTGCCTTTCAATGTTTACCTCTAAGTCATGTGGCGACTCATTTTTTCTCTGTGATCTGAAGGCACGAGCTCGGACCAGACAACCATCACTCATCTTGTACACTGCAAAGATATTTAGTAATAATATTAAATTATGTGTATTAAAAATCTAATATCATTTAGTCTTTGTAAATTCCTTGTCAGTTACTCAGGTAGTTGGAACAAATGTATATTTATATTGATGGGGGAGGCCCTTGCAATCTTGGTATAATATTGTGTTTATCTACACTAGGCCTACATCAATCTATAAAAAAAAATTACATCCAAGTTTTCATATATGACATACTTTTTAGAGTAATCGATAATTTTCTACATAATCAACTGAACTTGATTCCACTAAAATGGGAAAACAAAATCATGAGACCTACCGGTCTCCGTTTTTGTACTATATACGCCGAGCATCTGACCCGCCCCCTTCATGGGAAAATTTTTCATGTTTACGTACCTCTGATGTCTGTGATGTATTTCTCGCTAAAATACTTATATCCTTTGGATATCTCTTTGGCACCTAAACTAGTAGAGTTCTTCTTTATGATGTCTTCGACAAAAGAGAACGAAATTGTCGGCACTAAGCTTAGATCGCTTGTAGCAGACGCTGTCAACTTATTATCGGCCATAATTGTTGTACTTCGATACGTACGACCTTAGCCTCGTTTTCGATGCGATATGAATATTCATTATGATCTCATTAAGAACGGAGTATTGCTACATAAGAAAGGGAAATTGAAGATAGAACAGTTAAAGTCATCACGTTTACCATCAGGTTTTGTTGTTAGGTTACCATTAATATATCTCTCTAGTGAAATATTCAAATATGAAGCAGATGTGTTAGACTCTGTAGTATCATTTATTTCAAGTTCACTGGGATACAATGTATATCGAATCGACAAATGAATAGAAGTAACTATTGTTAATTGATAATATTTGATCGAGTTGAAGGCCACAGCAAGGTCTTCTTCTCCTCATGTAGAATTTTTTAATAAATTTTGCTTCATATGAATGCAAAAATAGCCCCCATAGGTCATTTGTACACCATACTTACAGGGCCCCTTAATTTAAACCCGACATTTAAACTTCCAAAACAAAACTGTTTTGTGATGGAATTCACCTGTCTTATCTAGGCAATTCACTGTTCATATTCTTCCTATAAGTAGCATTGATCAATTTCTTATCCAAAATTTATCCTAATCCTAATCCCAGTTCGCTATGTACTTGGCATAGCTAAATTCTTACTATTAATACTAACTGACAATTTGACGCTAACCCCCTTCCACTGACACCCCAAACCTACCCCACCCCATCCCAGCTACTACTAGATGGTGCATATCTTTGCTAGTTTTATCTTGTGTCAACGTGTGCAGTTGCTCAAGAATTATGTATGTTGTAGCTATCGTTGCCTTGTATGACAACTAATGCTAGTTTGGCGGTTGTATTGCTGGTCTCAGTATTTGAACCCACCCAGCAATCCTTATGGCAGAATTGCTATACAAGTCATCGCTGGTTAACTGCTGTTCAACCTTCCATGGTTATAAGCAATAATGACTTATTCTCATTAAATTGAACTGATGGCTGGCAAATGCCAGTTGAGGATCGATGTCATCCATTGATTTGTCACTTGCATTGGAATTCTCCAATTTCTTGTTTATTTTGTGTAAATATGTATTCAAATATGATTAAATGTTATGTGATATTTATATACGTAATAATAAAGTAATGACAGTACAGTCATACACCTTTTCTATGCTTTCTTTCGAGATAAGACTGAGACACGCCCAAAAATGACCTGGTAGAAACCCCATTAGAGACGACGGAAATCTTTGAATCAACAGGCAAGAATCAGAATCGGAATATTTCAAATACTTTGATTTTGGTGTGCTAACCGTTGAAGGGGCAATACCTAAAAACCATTTACTTAGTCATTCATCTTGAATTTGAATATGGCAATTTTAACTATGTTATTCTTTAAAGTATCACTCCAAATGGCATAAACGGTTTTCTGTTGGCGTATACAATTTGAAAGATTCTGCAAGATGTTGAAAACCGTTGCTTTCTGATAAAAATACGAAATCCGGATTTATCACATGATTCTGAATGTGGTTAAATAATATCGTGTATTTCTTTGATTTTATTATCGTACACCCTCGCCAGTGCATTTCTTGTAATAAAAATTGTAGCGAGTGTCCACTACCTTTTTGAACAACCCTTGTACATATAGTTAAAACACATTTCTTGATAAATTTTCACATTCAAAACAACCAATTTCAGTATATTTTACAAGCAATATAAAGGTAATAACTATAAAGCTTGGTAACTTGATAAAAAAATATCACTGAAAACTTGTTTTCACGTAACGACACAGTAAAGTTCACGACTCTTTAGTCTTCTTATCTTTTCAACAATGTGCCAAATGGTTGACATGGAACATAATATCTATCAATTTTAATTTCTTGTTCATCAATCATCTATCAGAATTTTGTCAAAAATAAAATGTTTTTTACTTGTACTCTTGTTGTTCTAACATTTCAAATGTTGTCTCAACCTTCTTTCCAGAACTCATTTCTGTAACTTCGCAACGAATTTCCGTTAGCCCAAAGATAATTGATATTTTGCACTCTCTATTTGTATCCTTATTTCCGGTAAGCGGTATGTTTACTTTCCCGAGAAACTTGCAATCATCATTGATGTATACGATATCAGATTTTTCGGTGTATAATATTGTGTATTTCAGGGCTGACTGGTTTTTACGGAGTGCAGCAACGATTCGAGTGACTTTGTGGCCATCTGAAGTAATACTCTCACCGGCCTTTTTCAATACTGAAAAGGAATATTTGCATCTTGTGACTCCATAATCATCTACGTATTTTCTATCCTTGCTGTGAATAGCCGGATCGAATCTTGCGTCTGTATCTGTTCCATAAGTGTATCTCAGTATACGTTCAGAAATTATATTTAGATCGTGCCCAAATAACACCGCTCCTTTTAAAACTGCAAGTCCACTGTCTTGAGGAACTATCAAGTTTGTTTTCGGAAAGCATTTTCTTACACGATCTTGTAAAATTAAACATTCGCCGTAGCCACCAACTAAAAGGATATGTTTTACGTTTGGAAAACTTTGCAGAATGCCCTCAATGTGCGTTGTTATACTCTGGATAGATTCTGCAAAGAAAGACTTCATGAGAGCCGTGTCTATTTTAAGTTTATTTTGTAAAAATGTTACTTGTCCTTTTAAATCCATGGTCTCGGCATTTTTCCTAAAATTTGGATTATTCTGTGTGGCAAATTCCATCAAAGATGCTGGCAATCTGATAAGATAATTTTTCTGACTATTGTCTGTAACAGTTCTTTTTTTTTATTTCAAAATTTCTGACAAGATCAATGAAATCGCTCATTTCCTCCGATTTCAATTGCTTAACTGCTCTAGCTCCCATGATGTCAGAAATAAATTGGAAAAATTTCTTGTTGACATTTATTCCCCCATATGCCCCACCGCTTGCCTTGCTAATTTCCTTAAGTTTTCCACTGCTGAGCCTTTCATGCACAGTGAAATCACCAGTTCCACCTAAGAAATTAAAAAAAAAAAAAGACAGTACTTCGGATGTACACAATTTGCTTTTTTGTATGAGCATGTGTGTATCATGTCTAGTGCAGTGCAAAATATTCATTGATGTAAAATTCATCTGAATCACTTGGTAAAAGTATTTGATTATGCTTATTTTGAAAACATTAGCACAAAAACGCAGATTTGTGATTACGATTTCATCACATCTTTTTAAAAATAGAATAAGCTACGGAAATTGGCAAAACGGTATCTCCCCAATAATTAAATGAATTCCATTATAATAAGGAATAGCAATTTGTAACCGGTAACCCGATCGCAACAATGGCATTATCTGAAAGAAATTTAAATCTGTTATCGATTATTCAGGGAAAAAAGTAAACTGTGTGTGAACAAAACAATTCCTTGAAATTCAATTTAAAATGAATACAAATAAAAAAAATTCTGAATGTTAGCATTCTCACCTATCGATCTAAGCTGATTACGGAAATAATTGACTTCGTAGGGATAATTGCTCAGTTTGTATCATTGATATTTTAAACAGCATATCCTTCCGTAGCCTCTTCTGTGTTTACTTTCTTTTAAATGATTGCTGAGTATTGTACAAAATATATATATAAAGAATAGAGCAGCGCCGCGAGAATTCCATCGGCATCGAAAGCAACATTTACACTTGCCTAGATAGCCGAGTGGTCTAGCGCGCTGTTCCTGTACTGCTAGGAGACAGTTTCCGTAGGTCGAGTGTTCAACCCTGGGCTGGGCCGGATGTGGGTATCCTTATAAAAGTGAATTTCTTTGTGCTTTCTCTCTCTCTCTCTCTCTCTCTCTCTCTCTCTCTCTCTATATATATATATATATATACATACATATATATATATATGAAAATAAATATGAAAACAATCTTGTACCTCCTACATCAGCTATTAGGTACTGCGTTCCCGCTTCAAAAATAGTCAATCCTGCTCCACCCGAAAGCTTTTCAGCTGGAATATTTTTGCAGTGTATTGATGCAGCCTCCGGCTCCAAAGATAGAACAAGGTTTTTTGATTCTAACCCAGCCTAATAAAGAAAGTTGTGAAATACTTTACATAGGAACATGACTATGAAATTTATTACACCCCTCCCCCCCCCCCTATATATATATATATATATATATATATATATATATATATATATATATATATATATATATATATATATATATATATATATATATATATATATATATATATATAATAACGCAAGAAGCACCACTCGCGAAATAAAATTTCTCGCTTTTATTTTTATGATGCTGAAATTAATGTAAAATCCCTTGATCAGCCGTCCACTCTGGAATTATTGTTCTCGCGATTTGACGTGAAAGAGCCATTTCGCGATAATAAGTACTCGCAAAAATAAGGAATCTTCAGTATATATATATATATTACGAGAAGACTAAGAACACTGTAAAACCTGATGTGTAAGATCTACTAAATAAATAGATACAAGGTCACAAAAATGATTTTATACGAAGCACTAAAAAATGACCAACGACGCGAACAATAGAAATTATCAGATTTTTGGGAGGTCCTGTCCATTCCTCAGGACAAAGAAAAAAGTTAAGAAAACATAAAAAAAAAAACCCAAAGGAAATAGAAAAGAAAAAAAAAATAACACTAAAACTAAACTACCAAACAATATATGTTTACATTTTTACATGCTTAATTTAGAAGTTGGTAACCAATTACTTTGAAATTCGGACCCCTATGCAATACGTCCGGCCTTTCGGGTGTACTCTGGAGAAGTGCCACTATAATGGAACTGGTTTTAGTATATTGTCAAAACGACAGAATTCAAAATCTTACCTTTTCTGCTGCTTCACGCATAAACTCTTTAGCCGAATCTCTCCAAATTGCAGGAACAGTCAGTACAAACCTAACATCAGACAAGGTGACATTGGGCAATCTATTTTTCAAAGTCTCCATTAGATGAGTTTTCAGGTATTCTATTGACATAGAGAAAACATCAATAGCTGGAACTGTTTTCCCTAATATGTCTTCCAGTATTGTTTCTCTGGACAGTTGCTGAAAAAAAAAATTGCCGACAATCACACAGTTTTTTTTTTACCTCGGTACATCATTTAGATTACGACATTTATACGTGTGTTTTCATCTTACAAAAAAGCAGGAAATGAAAACAAAAGTTTCAGAACTATAAGTGTTCTAATCTCTGTGGTTCTTCAGAGGACTTTTCCGACAAAAACCAAATATTGTGACCGCATATATAATGTTCCTTTCACCCCATATTATTTTCGCTCTTTTACACTTGAAAACGATTTTGCCCCGTTTTAAATTCCCGCAGAAAAAAAATGTGTTATAAACTAATAACTTTGTTTTTTATTAATTTGCCCTCTTTAAACAGGGGCAAAAGGTGGCAAAATAAAACGAAAACAAAAATTTTCACGTAAAAACATTTATTACAACTACCTAGCTCAAGGGAACTGCGATTTAAAACTTGAATTCATACAACATTGATGTTTTAATGTCAATTTGACTTATATGATCTTGCTTATCTAGAAAACAACTTGAAGGCTTTAAAAATTTTTTTCTTGCATTCAGGAATTATTTAAAATTTAATTTCCCATATTTTTAGCCCGTCTTAACCCGGGGTCGATACTATAAACCTGTATTCTGATTTATTTCCGTCTTTATATGTGAAGAATCGGGTAATGGGTACTTCCATTCCATTTTGGTCTGTCTTCGGCATTCGTAGCGGCTGAACTCCATGGTTTGAATTTTAGTTTTTTTTTCCTTTTTCTTTCTTCGGTTCTTTCCATGTCAAACCTGTACTTTTAATTCACATGTAAAACTTGAAATTTCGATTTCCCTGTACCAAAGAAACATTTCTTTAACGTTTTTGGAAAATTTTGATTTCCCTGTATCAAAGAATGATTTCTCTAATGTTTAATGAAAATTTAGATGAACGCAAAAAAAAAAATAAATAAATAAATAAAATAAAATAAAATAAAAAAAAAATGAAGATATCTATAAGAGATTTATATCCTCTTACAGAATCGTGTTGAGGGATTGTATTTAAAATAGCTAATTTGTATAAATTGCGATGAAGAGGGGAAAATGCCCTCGTGTGTAGGTAAGTTGAAGTTCTCAGTAAATATTCACTTTACAAGTAAAATTAAGACTTGTCCCCAAAACTTTCTATATACAGTAGAATACGATTAAGTGACATATGTAAAAAAAAGTTCACAAACGTTTATTTGTCACTTGTGCCGATGCGATTTTTGTATAACATTGAGGAAAAATTATAAGTGTCCGTCACATGATCCACAAAATCACGTGACATCATAAATATGCTTCATCATAATCGTGATAAAACCCTCTTTGCATATTGGCTAAGTTTACAAATTGAAATCAAAACCTAGCTCGAAATAAAAAATTGCATATTAATGAAGCCGAGTCTAATTATTTCCTCCCTAGGAGATTTTAATAATTTTTTTTAATTAATTTTTACTATATATTTATCGTTTTAAGATAAAAAAAAAAAAATCGAAAGTTTACCGTGCCGATTTCCCGATCATCTCAAAAGTTGTCAAATTTTACTATTGGACCCTATATGAATTTGTTGGAAAAACGCTGAATTATCACATTTTTCCCATATTTTTGTATTTCTGCCCTAGAGATTTCTGCTTCAGTCAAGTGCATGAAAGTTATTGTAAAAAGTCACTTAATTGTGAAATTACAAAAAAGTTGACCATCTAGGTCGGTGTAGGAATTATTACAAAGTTTATTTTTTCAATGCCCATTACCTCTAAAATTGTCATATTGCAGTATACAATGTATGTATATATCGGTGCAGATGGATTATCGGCGCAGATGAATCAATTTGGTAAAAAAAAAAAAAAAGCAATGGTTAGATTGCTAGGATGTTTCTTTTGATGTTCTGTCAATAGTTTTAGTAAAATATCCATGGACGTCTTGAATATACGAGTCATGTGTCAATCTTCGGCGTCATGCATTGCTGACACAATCGGTAAACAGTGACGATGTTAGAGCCATGTCAGCGGTTTTTCCTAATTATTGTCGTGAGATCATAATTTCAGATCCATAGGTGTTACAGACAATGTTAATTTTGTATTAAATTCACATTTCTGGGGAAAGGTGTAATGTCGCAAATATGACTGCATGAAATTAAAAAGCTGCGCAAAGCCATGCACACTCGAATTAGTCTCGGCCTCGTTATTCGGATAGCCTTAACCTAGTTGCATATAATTCTAATATGTTATTTTTGGTAACTAGTTTTCCGTTACTTAAGATTCATATTTATGTCAACAAGTCCATTATATCATGACCAAAGTTAAAAAAATACATGCAATAACTTGTTAATTATATTCTTTACAGTGTCAATGGAGAATACAATCTCTATATAATGTACCATACAATATCAAGTCTGTCAATACTCACTTCATCGTGATGTAATTTCATCTTGAAATGCTCAAAGTAGAAGTAATTTCTGTGAATGTTTTCGCTTGCCAGATCAGCATATATGTCTTCAGCTTCATATCCAAAACTGTTCAATGTCTTGTCTGGGTTTAAAAGTACACATGTTGATGTTTTCAATGACGCTGTACTTCCAGATCCTGAGTACCAAGTCTGCGGAGTTTGAATGTCATTTGGAGAATTTCGGAAAGAAAATGCATATCCACTGTATGTGGTTCCAAAATCTAAAGCTGCCACAAGCAACCAGTTATTATCCGCCATAATGGCGGATAATCAATAGAAGAATTTTAAAAATCTGGTTTCGGTTTAAAACAGGAATAAAGGGTACATGTCGACCATAGGACACGTGACGTAGAAAACAAAAGCCTTAATTAGTATAGGGTCATACGGGGAAGATAACAAAAGTTAAAATAACAATAAAGTACAATTAAGCCATGATTATGATTGCATTGAGTCGTTAATATACATGATATAAAAAGTTGTTATTACGATTTCGCAAAAACATAAAAAAGATACAAATAAAAAAAATACAACATAAAATCAAAGCTTAAAAACTCGTTACAAACAACAGCTTGAAAAAGTTTTGTTCGAAAATTAGACACACTTATCTCGTCATAGGGACTATTAATAAATTTTAATTATGAAAATTAATTGTATCTCGTAAACATGTAATAACGACTTTTTGTATTTGTCAAATAAAGAAGATTAAATGATTTTTATCCTGTAAATACAATTAAGTCGCTATAACGACCCTTTATCGCGTAATTACGACTTAAGTATCTCAAATTAACTTTTACTTTTTTCTTCATTTGACCCTGTAACTTTACTTATCCTTTCCTTCTGCGAAAGCCGAGGAATTTCAAAACTGGTCAAAATTTTGATTTTATTACGAAAAAAGACCTTGTGAAAACAAAATACTAGTGCCCTGGTAATAATGAGATTTTTTTTTTTTTGGTCTTTAATAATCTTGTCTATTTGATTTGATGTCAGATTCCTCGGGTATTATAAATTTGATAGGTAACTGAGAAATACCATAACCGAAATAGACTATTTTTTTTATATTTTGAGTACATAGTAGATTTATATCTACATTGTTCTGAGGACTTATGTAAGAAAGACCTGTTATTGTAATTCAGTATCTTCTCAGGAGGGATGTACGTATACACGTAAAGTGCAATAGGTAGTCCTTTATTCTGCAGTGTCTCAGAAATGTCCTTGGAGAACGTTAGCATGGGCTGTCCTTTTTGGAACGCCGAATTCCCTCAGATGCCCCTTTGCCATATCCATATTCATGAACATTCCAGGTTGCATACAATATTGATTGTTTTATGGCTTTTTATACAATTTGGAAGAAAAAAGGTAAAAAATACTTTTTTTAACTGTATGGTAGGGTCATCGATGTATAATATACTCTTATTGCATGATCGTGAGGGAAATATGAAGATTTATTCAGCCAAGAAAAATCATATTCCCCGAGGGCTTCGCCCAAGGGGAAAATGGTAATTCTTGGCTGAATAAATCTTCAATTTCCCGAACATTCATGCAATAAATTGTTTATTATACCGAAACAAGCAAAAACTTGAAAAATAAACATAAAGTTACAAATTCGGCACCGCTCTTAAATTCACTTTCAATTTTAACGTAGTGTTACGAAACAATTTACAGAAGTCCGTCAGCAATTTTGTGACGTGAACCAGGCATTGTGACGTCTTCTACTCTCGGGAGTTTTCGTTCAACGAAACTATTGCGGGAAAATGCATTAGGTCTCCGAGAAGGTTGAATATGATGAAAAGCACGACAACGACAGGGAAATGTGAAGTGTTATGGCCCTGTCACTTGATAATCTAGAACCAATCAGATAACGCGTTGTATAGAATTACAATAATGAGGTATTATAATAAAGGGTGTTAATTTTTTAATTTTTGTCTTTGACATTACACCTATAAAGCAGAATTGGAAATAAACCCAAATGACAAATATATGATCCACACCTTCATGCCTTAAAAACATTTCACACTGGCACCTTATCCAGGATAATAACACTAGTATGAAATGTAACTAGAGCCTAGGATCTATATTTTCTCAAACTGCATGCTTTGTATATTTGTTTCCCTATATAGTTTGGTTTGGAGGTTTACAAGTATAAATTCTAAAACTCTCCTTCTTTCTGCTTAGGTAATGAGTTAACTTGTTCCAAAAATTGAAGGCATGCTGTTCATATCTATCTACATTTATCATAATATCTATAAAGGCAATGATTTCCTCTGTGAGGTTACCCAATGTGCCATCTATTTGATCCTTAGCTGATATTTCTTACAACAGGCTTTTCTCTCTTTTCACCAATCTTCCTCTCACTTTGTAACCCTATGTTTCCTGAAAGCACTTTCATAAAAGTTTATCATACCATTTCGCAATGTTTTGACGTTGGCTTTACATACACATCATGTTTATCAGTATCACAGAAAACTTTTCCAAATTTAGATGCAAACCGGGAGTCAGTTTGTATCTTTGATGCCCCTTTTCAGTAGAATGTCTGCTATACGTTGAGAGCTTTATTGCACATATTTCTCTATCCCATCTTTGGGGGGTAATGTCCTAGCTAATATTTTCTTCAACAATATATCTGCTATATATTTTAATTCCTGTACACTGACAATAAGGCTCTCGTATGGTCTTCTAGAATCCGGTTATTTTTTTTCTTTTTTCCTTCTCAAATTTTCTGCCCTTCCATCATCGCAAACCAGGGGTTTCTGATCCGCACCGCTTCTCAGAAGTGGTGCAGATCAGAAACCCTTGACTGGCAAAGATAATTTTCTTTTGGCTAGATCATCGTTTCTTTTCTCTTGATTTTTTTTTTCGATGACAGTAAAACATTTGTTAATGTCAGTGTTATTAACAAGCTTTTCAAATATACACGACTTTCTAAAAATATGAAACAAAACAATATAGAGAACATAACTGGTTACGTGTATTTCTAGGAATTAAATGACAAAAGTGTAACGAAAGTTGTTCATGGTGTAGCATTTTATTTCTTTCCAGTTTAAAGTAATCAAGCTTGGTGTCTATTTATCAAAATATAAATATTACATTTTTTTTTTGTAAATGTTATGCCACTGAAATCGATTACGATGTATTTTTTGTAAACATTTTCTCGATATTTCTTCCACATATAATTACTTTTTGAAACATTTCTCTTTGGCGGCAACAAGTGATATCATTCCAATACGGAGAATCCAAACAAAATTCATATAATGTATTTTTAGACAATTATTAGACTCTATGTAATATAACTGACTTTCAATATTAATCTCCCGATTTCTTTCTTTCTTTCATTTTTTTTTTTTTTTTTTTTTTTTTTTTTTTTTTTTTTTTATTTTTACAAAAGTAATGAAACAAACAAAAAATGAACGAACGAAGCAAAAATTAAAAACAACAAACAAAACCGAGAATGTTTAACTATATACATGTATCAATGTTAAAGTACGTATGAATTGCTGTTGGTATTGTTTGCTTTTTTCCATGAGACTACCATTAAACAGTTTTGTTTTAAAATTAAATTTTTGGTGGTGCAAGAACAAGTTTTAGTTCTCTCATTTTCTACGCAATTCATATTATTTTTTTTTCATAAAAAATTGATTTCCTGACGATAAAGAGTGTATATTTTGATAATGCGCCATGAATGAAATATACCCTTAAGCTCAGGAGAGCTTATAATGTCTTCAGGACCCAAGTTGGACTCTAAACAATAACAAAACAAGTATGTGTATACATGTACAAACTTATTTAATTTTAATTGATTAAGCCTTATTAGTCCACAGTGGTTAATGTTAATAGAGAGTATTTGATTGATAATGATTAATATCGTTTTATGGCAATCAATAATGTCTTAATTTCTAAGCTAACTGATTCTTACATATCACAGATGTTCTTTATCAACATCTTAAAGCCCGGTCACGGTAGCTTAGTTGTTGGGCACTCGCTTCGTGATCTTGAGGCCCGGATTTGATTCATGGTCGCCGCGCTCCGTCAAACCTAAGACATAAACATAGCTAGTGACTGTTCATTTGCCAAGCACCCGGCACTAGATGTGAAAGTCACGAGTCTTTCGGAAGAGACCTTAAAAACCGAGGTCGCGTGTCATAGGCGTTGTCATAGCTCCCGTAGGCGCTGGTACGATAGAGAACCCTCACAGCTCAATGGACCTGAGTACCTAGTATACGTCTGTATTTGAAGCCCTTCGCCGGCATACGGTGACGTCTCTATATGAATGAAAAAATCTTGAATGTGACGCTAAGCCACATACAATCAACCTCTAAAATCTGTGAATAATTGTTTTATAAAGATAAAACATCTTTCCTCTACATTAAATGTCAAACACAATCAAATAGTAACCAAATTATCTCACGTCTGATTTTTTTAAATATACCATATGTATTCTGTTGATAAATATAGCGTTGGAAACATTTCTTTCCATTTTTTTTCTACCAACATATACAATAAATATAATAAATAATGCACCATCTTAAAAAGGCATTGAAATGTCTTAAACACCCAATTTCATTTAAACGCCCTTGGAATCTACCTAATTCAAGATCAATAGCATACCGCCTGTCAAACATTAAAAAACAATAGCTTCTGATTTGATTGACGAGCTACCTGATAATCTGATTTTACATGTTTTGAAAATAATTACCTGGTCACGCTTCAAACTTTTACGCTTTTATGTACCGCATAAATGATCGTTTTGTATACACTCTAGTTAAAAAAAAATCATGTCGCTATTATATTGGTTGATAATTTTATTTTAAAAAAAATAATTGAGAGTAGATACAGTAATTAATTGTGACTTCGTGATTTTTTTTTTCAATCTCCACCGCTGTTTTGTACTTGTTAGCGATATGACGTCCAAGATAACTGTAGAACTTTTCGAATGAAAATTAGCGGGTATTCAGGCACTCTCTTCCTTCAGTAACTGAGATCCGGAGAGAGAAGAAGTTTCTGTAGCAGCACAGATCTATAATTCTTTCGAGCCCCTTATTCAAACTGTGCCTTGATTTTATGAATGTATGTAATGCCTTTGTCGATCTTGCACTTTGGTACACAGAAACTCAATTCGCCGTAACTGGAAACAATCGATACCCTCCCCCACCATTGAAAATTATAATAGAATGCAATAGATTAAATCTGAAAAGATATTTATACTAATATACAAATAGAAATAAAGTATCTTGTATCTAATGTCATGAATTACGAAAGATTCT